CACAGGTTTGATTCAGTTCTGTTATTTTTTTACCGACTTTCTGTCCAGTTGATCTATCTCTTGATGACAATATGGCATTAAGGTCCCCTGTTACAATTGTGTTACTGCATATTTTGCATTTCATATTTATTAGTATTTGTCTTATATTGAATGCTCCTGTATTTGGTGCACATACATTTATGATTGCTAGCACTTGATCTTGAATTTTTCCCCTAACAAGTAGGTAGTGACCTTCCTTACCTCTTTTGATCACTTATGGTTTGAAGTTCATATTTTCTGAAAACAGAGCAGCTACCCATTCTGTTTTTATTCTGTCAACCTATTTCTTTTGATTAGTGATTTGAGGCCATTTACATTGATGGATATAACTATATGTACTGGTTCATCTTTGTCATGTTTTTTCCTGTTGTTGTTTTTCTACTTTTCCTCCTTGATTAATTGCTGGCCTTACCTGATAGTTTCTTTCTCTTGTTGTTCTGGGAATTTTAGTCTTTGTTGTTTGTCTCTAGTATGTCTTTCAGTAATCTTTCTAGGGTTTTCTTTGTAGACAGTTTTCTTTAGTTGTTCTTTATCATGGAGATACATTTCTCCATCAATTTTGAAAGAAACTTTTGTAGTGTACATCAATCTGGATTGAAGCTGTTTTCTTTAAGGGCTTCACTCCAAGCTCATCTTAACTTGGGGTTTGTGCTGAAGAGTCTGCCGTGATTCTAATGAGCTATCTTTGATAGGTTAGTTGTATCTTTTTTCTAACAGCTTATAATATTCTTTCTTTATGATGAATTTCTGGAAACCTAATTTTTATATGTCTGGGTGTAGATTTATTTTGGTTATGACTTGTGGTGTACTATATGCCTCATTGATTTTTATATCTTAATCTTTTCCCCTGTTTGGGAAACATTCCACTATTACTTCTGCAAATAGTTTATTTTTTTATGTCATTTGCATTGACTCTTGCATTTTTATTGATGTCTATCAATAATATATTACTTATCTTTGCATGTTATTGAAGTTGTTGAATAATTATTTCATGCTCACTTGTTATTTTTAAAAGTTCTTTTTTTTTTTTTTTTCCGTAATCTCTAGTTGCGATCCTGCCTTCGAGATCTGAAAGTCTATTCTCAGTTTCGCTGAAACAGTTTTGCCAGTTTTCATTGGAGTTTTTTATTTCCTGGATATGTCTTTGAATTTGTTTCATGCAATCTTTTTCTTTCATCAATTGTTCATTCAGTGTTTCCATCATTTTTTTATACTCCTCTAATGTTTTTTATCTATGTTTTCTCTAGCTCTGCTAAGCAATTGTTTTAATAAGTTGTTATTTCTTTCTTTACCTGAGAGGTTATTTCTAATCCAATTTACAGATAGTCTATAGTATCATTGATTTGTTTATTTATTTCACTTGCTGTCTTTTCAGAAATTTCAGGTGTATGACTTCTAGTATTTCCCAATTTCAGTGTCTCCTTTACTTGTTCCTGATGGACTGGATGTTTGAGATTTTGGTCTTTTCGGTCCCACTAGTCTTATTTGATCATTATTTGTGTCATAGGGACCTACTTTATGGGTAATGTTTGTCCAATTGCTGAAGGGTGGGGTCAGTCACCTGAATTCCTTCTGCAAGTCCTATTGGGTGAGTCTTATATTGTCCCTAGGCTGACTAGCTTACGAGTATTGATATAAGCAAACCCTTAGCTCCTATTGTTACTGTGGCTTTAGGCTGTTCCAGGCTTCCAGATTAATCTGGCCATATGCAGGGCCTCAACTGGAACCCTACTGTGTCAATGAGGGTCTCCTTGCTCCTTTCATGTTCCTCTAGGTTGAAAGAGACCTTGTCCATGCCCCTCTCGATTCACCTGGTGTTCTCTCTATGGAAAAAGTTCTCACCTAAACTCTTCCCAGCTTACCAAAGTCCTACAGCTTGGGGGAGAGTTCACTGCTGCTCATGTTGACAAACTTAGGTCCTTTATTAGAGGGGGAAACCCATCACGGTGTCACAGGCCCGCTGAGGTCCTCTGTGTGGGTGAGGAGCTGCTGAAGCTTTCACCAGTCCACTGGGATTCTGAAGGTGGTAGAAAGGGGTTGCTGATACACCCTGGGTTACTGAGGTCTCTGGGGTGCTTCCTTGGTCTGGAGTTCTCCAAAGCGGATGCTGAGTGGCAATCAATGATCCTGCCACCTCCAAGGTATCTACATGGAAGGGGGCAGTACTGTAGGGGTCACTGGGGTGAAAGGGGAGATGCTGCTACTGATCTGATGACTGAGGGCATCTCCAGAGTGGAGGAAGTGTTGCTGATGATCCTGGCATTTTCAAATACTGTGTAGAGTTTAATAAAAATACATAATATTGTACAGGGGCTTAGTAAAGTACCATTCTGCATGGGTCTGAGTGGGCATGGAAGCATGATTTGTTTAGTAGAATTGTCCCTTTCCACTTGGCTGCATTTCCCTTGGTATAATTCTCCACCACCTGCCTTAGAGTCAGCCAACCATGTACTGAATCCCCTGGAATCAAAAGCAAATTTAACCTCTATTCTTTTGTGCTGTGTGTTTAACATATTGTGTCTCAGGAACTGGGAAAATGAAATACACATATGTTTTTCATGCATATATCATAAGTTTCATATGTACATCACATGTGCCACATATAGGTCATACATGTGTCACCTACATGCCATTTGTGTCATGTATATGTCTACTTGAATTTTTGTGTCTATGGATACACACACACACACACACACACACACACACATATACACACACACACTCATGCATATATGGCTTGGGTTTTGGTGTTAAAAATAGAGCTTGAGGCTTTGTGTATACAGCCAAATGCAATACTCTGAGTTGTACCTTCTGGATGATCTTCTATTTTGAAGGACTGTTCAGACTAATAAGAACAATTATCTATATAAACTCAATGAGGCAATTGATCTCATGGAGTGTAATTGTTAACTTGAAACTTCACAAGTCAATTCCTTGAATAACTCATTCTTCTTGAGGACAGGCAGATTGTATGACTTGCTTCTTGCTAACAGATTATAATAATGGAATTGTGATATCCATTCTGTAATGTTACCTGATATATGACTTCATCATAATAGACTATAGCAAGAGCATTCCCTATTAGGCTTATAGAGTAAGCTGCTGTAGTTGAAGAGATTGTGAGACAGGACAAATATGCAGGGGGTCTGCAAAGACCCATGAAAGGGATTTCAGACATGAAATTGTAGTGAACCCTAGACTCACAGAGTGACCCCTGGTGGACAAGCAGCGATAAAAGAAGACCCTTTCGCATTCCTACAAGAAACTGTATTACACAGGTGGAATCAACATAAGAGCTTAGAAGAAGACTCTGCTCTCCAGAAGAAAGGCAGCATTGTCAGTCCCTGGACGCCTGTGTAGAAAAGAATCCATTCAACTGTCTCTAGACTCTGATTCATAGACCATGAGGTAATTGCTTTGTATGGTGTTGACCACCCAAGTCTGGGTAGTTTGTTAAACAGAGATAATAAAAATACTTCCTAATCTGTGAAAAGTTTAGGTTTTCAGTAATTCTAAATTCTGAGTGTACATGATGAGAAAATGAATAATTTCTATTTTTAACATAGTGGCCTGGAATGTGAATGGGTTCGTTTCAAGAGATGTGGGGAAGATATGCTAATTTTTAAGACACTGGTAACTCTGAGGGCACTGACCTGATATCCCAGGTACTCTATAGTTATGAATATTTATAAACAACATCTGGAAATCAAAAGTTGCACCATTAATTTCTCCTTATTTCTTTGTAAACTATGTAATACATGATGTTTTCTGTGACTTCAGGAGTCATTTTTTTTTTTCTTTTTTGTACCAGAAACCAAACTCAGGACCTTGTGCTTGACAGCAGGTACTGTGCCCCTGAGCTACATACCTGGCCCTTCATAGGCCAATTTTAAAACCAAGTAAGAGTCATGCTTGATAAATATGTGTTTGGCCAGCTACCAATTGAGAAACAGTGAGAGGAAGAGAGGGAGAGAGAGAGGGAGAGAGACAGACAGACAGACAAAGAGAGAAAGAGAGAGAGAGAGAGAGAGAGAGAGAGAGAGAGAGAGAGAGACAGTTTAAATGTTCTATACACAATAGTGATTATGATGATGAAGGATGGAGTATAGTGTATGTTAATAATTTTCCCCTTAAATATGAAGCCAGGATTGTTTTCTCTTATCAAACCTTTGCTGGAGCACCCAACATAATATCTTCTGCCTCTTCTTCATACCAATACCCAAGAAAAGCCCTAATGTTCACCATCATTGTCCATAATGAGAGATGAAAGTATAGATAATGATAGGAGAAAGCAAACCTGGGCGAACTAACCTAGCAATTATAGTTCCACTTCATTTATTTAAATAATGGCAACATAGTGCAAAATTAAAAGATATTCTCTCTCCATCCATTTCTAATGTATATTTGTCCCTAAACCAAGATACTGTGGAGTGAAGTTGTAGGAATGGTGTAGCTAGATGAACTGATTTTTAGATTTTTTTCTTGAAGTAAGAGACTAACAGGGGCAAAGCAGAGCATCAGTGGCCACTCACAGGGCCTGGACCTCAGTGTTGACCCTTGTCTTGATATGCTAACCTCTACAACCCTGTTTAAGAACCTGTGATTCTTGTGGTTTTGAAGGCAAATTTAAATCCTGCATAGGTTTTTCATTCTACATTGCCCTCTTGTCAAAGGAGGTCAAATCATTTTCTTGGCAGATTTCCTTTAAGCTAGGTTTTTTTTTTCTTTTTTTTTCTTTTTTTTTTTTTTTTTTTGTTGTTGTTGTTGTTGTTTTCAGAAAAAACTGAATGAACAAAAGAAAGAATGAATGAATAACTTCTCTCTTTTATCTAAACATTTTAATGCATAATTCATAAAATCCATTAACCATGTACTGGAATTAAGTGAGTTTTTAGAATTGCACAAGGCAGCCTATCTGAAACTTAAGTGACAATTTTTCCTTTTTATAAAAACAGAGGAAAGTACTAACCTGACAGGAGAGACACCATGATCATGAAGGTGGTTTCCCCAGGGTAAGGCTTGTCCTTTGCACTGCAGGTGTGCTGACTCCTGCGATTTCCCCAAATATGGGACACTCAACTGTATAATTTTTGATAGTGGGGGACTAAGTTCACGCTTGCCCCTGGCGGGGAAAAATTAGAAAGTAGCTTGCCATGTTTCTTCAAAGAATTTTTGAGTCATGATTTTCCTAGGTTTTTTTTTTTTTTTTTTTTTTTTTTTTCGGTCTTTAAGTCTGAGCTTGGTAACCCTTAGATGACATGTGTTCTCTTCTTGCTGCTTTAAAGCAAAGATTGACCTTTATTCAGCTCATCTGCTTCCCAATAAATAAGATCCTTGACAGTGTTTCAATCAGTCTTTGGTTACTTCTAATTTCACCTGTAATCACTTGAGAAGGGGATATCGACTTCAAATACTGATTGTCCTGTGCTACCTAACACTTTGAGAAGTCATCTTTCATTCATGCAAACATATTTTTTTTTGAGGGAGCTAATATCTCCTTTTGTAAAACTCCTTACACAACACCTTAGAAGAAGTATTGATGAGGATAATTTTAATGTGCAGTCAGATAATGCATTCTGCTTTCCTTTACCAAGAGTGTTTAAACAGTAAATCAGGTATACTGGCTGGCCATCGAGCACAGAAATGGTGAGGTTGTAATAACAGCTCGCATTGAGTTACAGATTGCATCAGTCAGCTTTCCCACTTCTGGACATGACACCTGATACAAATTAAAGAGAGGTTTAACTGGGCTCATTATTTCAGTTCAAAATTGGCTGGCTCCAAGGCAGAGACATCATGAAAGATGTGCCAGATCCAAGCTGCTTAGCTCAGAGTGGCCAGAAAGCAGAGTAGATTAAGTGCACCAGAATAGAAAAGGTGAGGACCAGACATAGACCCCTATTCCCCTGCTTCACAGAACCATCTAATCCCTGAGTCAGATCACAAAGACAAAGCCAATCAAGTTGAAACTCCAAACTCCACACTAAACAGATAAATAGACAAAAACAGGTACATGATTTTTACCCATCAGTCTCTATCTATCTATCTACAGAAGTGGGTTAATCTCAGTACATTCTTGTCCATTTTTAATGTTTTGTTAAGTCAAATAGAAACTAGACTGAACTTGTGTCCCACCTGCCTCAGCCCTCTGGTGTACTTAGGTTTCAGTCTTTTAACAACACAGCTGGCTTTTTAAGTTTATTAACCCAAGAGATAATGTTTTTAATGAATTTCAGAGAAGTGCAATGACAGACCATGGCCTGATTTATGTCTGAGCTAGATGCTCCTCTTATGTCCTTTACACTAGCACTTTAAATATACTGCAGCAAATAGTCCTGCTTCAAGGGAAAGGTTAAACATGAATCCCATACATAAAGAAGACAAGTAGGCACCTACCAAGAAAGCTATAAAGGATGCCAGCACTGCCTGTCCCTTGCATCTTTCCTCAACTATGATCACTGAAGAGGCCCCAAATAAACTCTAAGAGCTCCTCACTTCTGGGTTTCAGATGCACTTATGGATAGCATATAGAATAATGAAATATTTGAAAGAAAGTCATTGACGCTGTTGTCCAAAATACCAGTTTGTTTTTTTTTTTAATGGACTCATTGTACTAATTGCATGTTTGCAGTATGTGTGTCTCTTGAACATAAACTGGCAGGTTCTTCCTCTTTTTTTCCCTATAGGCTCTTTTCTAATGCTTTACATGCTTATTGTAAGTTTTATCAGAACTCTGAAGGATAGCCATCATTATCACGGGATTCTGTAGATGAAAAAATGAATCTCAAAGAATTTGTCACATCTCCTGCCTTCACAGCTAAACCATGGCAGGAACAGAATTGGCAGGGGTCAAAATTGGTTCATCTGGGTCCTCAAAATGTAAATTTGATTCAGAAGATTCAGCAACTTCTCAAAAGTCACAGCCTCTATGATAAAGAACTAAATTGGTTTCACTGAGAAAGTTGCTTTACTGTTAATTTAATGAAACTTAAGCTTCAAACCTTCTCCCTTGCACTGAACTCCCCAGAGCTGAAAATAACCATGAGTTTTGTATTCAGAAGGATGGGAGACCCAGGTTGCAGTCATGAAGTATCACCACGAAGCCTTTCTGCAAACCATCCTAAAAAGAGCTCAAATGAAAAGAATCTGAAACTCCAGTTCCACAATTTTCTTGCGAATGATTACTTTTCTCATTTGAAATCTTATGTGACAGCCGCACCTAAGTAGGTACACGTTTTTAGTTGTATTATTTTTAAATTGACAAATTATGTTACTATATATGATATTATATTTTGAGGTAGGTATAGGCATGGAATGGCTAAATCAAGCTAATTAATATATGTACTACAGTGGTGGGTGGACAATTGGAGGGCAACTTGTGACACTCAGCTGAACCGAATCAGCATGGTGCTGGATATCAAGGGCCGCCTGCAGATCGTTGCCAACAACATAAAAAGGTGAACTGCAGGGGAAGAAGTAGTGTATTGTTGATGGCTCTCCTGTTGTCAGTGGTTCACCTGAAGGAGCTTGTTGAGTTTCTTTCCTGATATGAACTTGGTTGTTTTCGTTGTCAGAGTAGCTCGGGATCTTGTGGTCACTGAGAATGGCTGCTGTTCACTCTGCGGAGCTCTGGTTCTTACTTTGAGCATTTCTTCCTGGATCCAGAGGGGAAGATGGTGTGCTGTTCAATCTGGAGGAGCATGCCACACTGGCTTCCTAACATGAACTTGGCTGTTACTGTCGGAGGAGGAGCTCAGGATCTCATTATTGCTGCAGATGATTATGATACTTTTGGGGGGAGCTCTTGTCTTTATTTTGAGCATTGCTTCCTGCTCCACTGCAGATTCCTCTTGTACTACTGGCCTTTTAGCTTTCCTAACACAGATCCATGAGACAGATTTGCATGAGACATTGTCTTGGGCTCTAGGCCTTGAACTGGACTCATATGGGATATTCCTATGGAATCCAGGCCCTCAACGGGAGGTTTTTGGTCTATGTACGTCAACAGATTTCTTGCAATTTTTTTTTGTATTTGAGTCTTTGGGTGACTATTATAAAATAATCTTATAAAATATATATACCATGTTAAATTGCTTTCCTTGTAAACCCTGACTATAACAACTAGAAAGATGTCATGATGCTTAAGTTTAAGTAAGCTTGAGAGAAGGCAGGAAGAGAACACCTTTATTACCTTTGGCTACAATATATTGTTATCACTTCCTGTGCCTGATTTACATATTAACCTTACCATAAGAACACATGTAGATGAAAATGCATACATGAAGAGCTCACCCAGTATATTTCTGAAGAATAAGTAAGGGTGGATTGTCGCATGAGGTGGCAGGTATTTCTTTACATGGCCCTGTCATTCTCATGCCTCAGCATAAAAGATAATGAACTCCAGACTCCATAGTCTCCTCAACTTGATGACTTCTTTCCTTTACAAGAATTACTGAAGCCACCAAATTCATTTATTTTTGGGAGTAAGAAAAAGGAATTTCATGAATCTGATTTTATTCATGTATATCTTTAACATTTTAAATACATTGAATTGTGTTTTTATGAAATATATTTACTTTTTATTTGTAAATTATTTTTAAATGATGCAAAAACCATCAATGGTATGCCATGTTTGATAAATATATTACATTGCACTATGTTTAAGTGTATTTATTTATTTGAACATTTATCATTCCTTTAGAGTGAAATGTTCTGAATCCTTTTTTGTAGCCTTTGAAATACGCAGTACATTATTGATTTCTAAGATATATCAGTTTCTGATGCTGTCTAATGGCAATTTTTACCCATTACTTAACCTTTGATCAATAATCTTCTCTTCAGTTCTCCAGCCTCTGTTAGTATTCTACTCTCAACTTATATGTGATTATTTATTTTAACTTCACGCATGAATGAGTTCAGTTGGTACTTGCACTTGTGTGCCTAATTCATTTCTCGGGATACAGTGATCCATCATTATATCTGTATTATCACAAAGGACAGAATTCCACTGTTTCCATAGCTGAATAGTATTCAATTGCATACATATTCCACATTTTATATTTTCACCAGGTGCTGAACATTTAGGATATTTCTATTTCTTGGCTTCACTAAATAATATGGTGAATATGGGAAGGCAGATGTATCTTTGAAATGCTGGTTTCATTTCTACTTGAAAATACTTTGCATGGCTCCTATGCAGGTGTGTTTCATAACCAAACTGAAAATAATCTACCAGAATTAAATTATCATTCTTGCCAAATTTTAAACATAGAACAACTTCTATTCTCTAAAGTAAGTGTTGTTATGATTCCCATTTTACAAATTTTAAAAACTGGCCAAATAAACACAAGTTAAAAATTTGCCAAGGTTCATTTAATTATAAAATAAAGAACCAGAATTTGAACCCTAGCATTCTTATTCTAGGGCCGTGCCCACTATCACTGTATCCAGACTCAAGCAAGGAATGACCCTTACCTGAACTTTACCCCTCAAAAAGACTTCAACTAGATTTCTCCAGCCAGATTCCTTTTAGATGAACATGGGTTTAATGAGCTGAGGAAATGGGCTCTACACTCCTCAACCATCTTCTGTGTCATATTTGTTTACTGAAGCCTGTGCCTAGACTCTTTTTCAGCATCTATATGGAGCTTTTCCGTTGGGTTCCTAGAGCAGCCACCGAACATTAGTTAGTTCTAAGCCCACGATGGTTCTGCATGGAATGTGTGTCTAGGCTTGGACATGTGGTCTGAAGCATTTCTCTTCATTCATGTTAGGTCTCGTAAAAAGAGCCAAATTTAGTGTCAGTAAAAAGAGTTGGGACCAGGGCTGCCAGAAAATACTGCATAATGTAGGCTACATCTCTCTTTGTCCCTAAACCTGTAAAAAACAAATTCCAGAAATCCAGGAACTCCAATTTTAGACCTGATGTGACAGATCATTATAAAGATGATAGAATGTTTTAAACTAACTCTTAGCTTGATTATTAATTTTGAACTACTTAAACATGTAAATGTGGGCCTCCATTTGTTTGGTGGCTTCCATGCTAAAAGGAAGCCTAGGTGGCACAAAGGGACTGTTTAACCTTGCCTTAGATACATTTGCTTTATCATTCCTTGCTTTGATGGG